TTAATCGATTGGGACCACTCGAGGCTGGCTTCCTCCACCTTTTCACTGTCTTCAGGAACTTCCATGAACTGTTTCTTGGGGGTAGGATCTTCTTCCTCTGACCCCCCCAACTCCTCCAACGATCGCTTGCGGTTTCCATTTCCCCCGCCTTCCAGATTGGAACCATACTCATTCAATTTAGCAATCATTGCACCTTCCGCTTCAGTCATAGAATCACTTTCCATATTAATCCGCATACCCGCTTCAAAAGCATCCACCACCTGTTTAACCTTCCCTTCAATTAGTGGTGGGGGACAGGCCAACAGAGGGGATTTCTTTTTCACCATAAATCTTAGGGCCTCATCTTCCGAGGATGAGTCCAGTAGCGCCGCACCCGGCTCCTCCTGAAGGCTCTCACCTGCCAGCGCCCCTCCTCCATTTATATTCCCTGCCATATTAGAATTCGGATTCTCCATGGGGAGAACTTCCTTACCCTTCTTCTTCGACCCATTAACCACCTTCCGGCCCTTTCCACGACCAAGGCCCTTCCCGCCCAGGCCCGTCGTGGTATTCTTGCGGCCCACAGTGGGCTTGGCTTTGGGCAAGCCCACCACCACTTCACTGTCACCAGGAGGAACAAGCCCATTGGATATGGCACCCGCCTTTTGAAGCTTCCTCCCCACTTGCTTTTTGAGATTAGTAATTGGGGGAGATTTCGCCGGACCCATCGGGCGCACAGCAGGAGCCGCCTCTTTCTCAACAGCATCTGGCAAGACAGCCGATAGGGGGCAGCAGCCAGCGGAGCCGCCGCTATTGGTGGGTCGGCAGTCGGTGGGACAAAATCATCCTCAGAATCCTCCAACAGCAGCCGTCTCCGTCGTTCCCCCATCCCCGGGCCTGTCTCCCAATCATCCAAGTCGTCGAGCTCGTCACCATCCTCATCCGGTTCTGGGCTCGGGAAGACTTCTCCAGTCGGAACCACCTCTGTCGGACGATGTCGCCAGGCAGCACCAGAGCCATCCCCCGCCATTCTATGGCCCTGGCGAGAGCCCGAAGCATGGTAGCGGGCGGGAGGACCTCCGTTGTGTTTCTGGCCAAGGCGAATCCGAGGCGATTTAGCCACCTTGAATCCCGGGCTATGACGACGGGTCAAGTCTCCCGTAGTTGCTTGTGGTTGACGGGGACGGGAGAGAGGCCCATGTTTCTGCGTTCGGGTCACCTTCAGCCTCCCCCCAGGGATTTCGCCATCGCCACCTTCATCATTCCTAGGAGCTTTCACCTCCCTGTTCACCCACACTGAATTCCCCCCCCCCCTGGGGAATGGCTTCTGAAAATCCTCCGAGTCATAGATACGCAAGCCCAGCAACCGAGTGGTCATATGTGGCCCAAAGTTCTCTTTACGATTCGGAGGGTCGAAAGAGCAAGATTGCCGCGAGTGACCCACCCTGCCGCAATGGTAGCAGAAACTAGGGAGGTATTCATATTTCAGGTTCACCCAGAAAGCCCCGGTTTCATCATTGGCGGCCACTATCCTTGATCGGAGTGGTTTGGAGAAATCCACCATCGTCTTAACCTTCACAAACCAGCGCCCCGATTCTTGGCAGGCAAAAACACCAGACTCCAAGACTTTACCAACAGTACCCGTTATCATCTTACGCCCGAACTGCTGGGTACAGCAGTCTTCTTTAACATCCCAAAGTTGAATCCGAAATGGGGCTATCGCAAGGTCGTCAAAGGTCTTCCGGGTGATAACAGGGGTCCATGGGCAAAGATGAATGATCTTATCATTAATCACCCATGGAGTACGTTTGAGGACCCATATTTTCGCTTCCTCACTTGGGAGAACGAATTCAACCAGGCCATGTTTAGCTAGCACCACTCGGAGCCTCCCTTGAATCAGCCATGGTTTGAGAACCCCTTCTCTCAGCTCAGTAGTTGAGATTCTGTTCTCGGTAAAGACGCGACCCAAGAGGGAGTGGGTGGCTCGGTACTTGGACGATTGCACTTCTTCCATGGAGAATTGCACCACTTGATCCGACGTGACATGGGCCATCTTGCGATCCTGCAAGCAAGACAAAGGATGGTGGGAAGAGGGCTCCTCACAGACCCCATTCGCAAGTAGACTCCCCCCCGACCCCTCTGCCAAGACAAAGTCAGCTCGGGGACGGGCAGAGACAGCGCGCCTCATACTGAGGAAAATCGTCGAAATCAGATGGGAGGGGAGAGCGGACAGGGAGGGGACGCTACCTGAGTGTTGATGAACCTGGGGTGCTGGGACTTCCAATACAGCTCTATGCGCACGAACTCTTTTCGCAGGGGAGAGGATTTTGTGATACCTGGGGCATAGAATTATATAGGAAGAGTCCCTCTTCCTAGGGCTGACATCAACAACTCGGGGAAGGAGAATTGTACCTGGCATGGGATTCTTACCCAATGCCAACGGGAAATCAAAACCAGCAAATCTCCCTGGGATCCCGGGAATAACGCACGGATCCGATTTGCATCCACTCCCATCCCGAAACTTCCGCGCACAGTTGCGCGTAGCCCCTGAGTTACTTTCCCGGTCACCGGAAAACTCTGGGCACCACCCATGCTCCACCTTGGGAGCGGAGCTTAGAGCCTCACCGTTGCCATCTCGGCAGGGGGCACAAGCCTTCAATTTTCTAACCCATTCCTGAACAATACTACCATGTACCAGAATCTGGGCCAACAGAAGAGCGCCACTAGAAAGCGCCTCTTCCAACAAAAATTCTTCCGAGGAAGGATTTTGGAATCGCCAGGCGATCCCTATGGGAAATCGTCGGCGTTTTGGTTTTATATGACAGCAAATGTCAGTTTCTGCCAGGACATGCCCGAGCTTCCTTTTGCTATTCCCACATCGGGGATAACTTTCTGAATTGGCACCGCCACCACGACTGTGGAAGACGACGCGACGGGGGCGGCAATTAGCCAGTTTCACGATTCCGGCATCATGTGCCTTCATCTTCATCCCGTTGAAACGAGATCGCCCATGATTATATTTCCACCATTCTTGAGTCTGATTAGACACACAAATCGAAAGGATCAGTAACACCAAAGCCACCAGCTGGTTTCCGATGGCCCGCCCAAGGCGTAGGAGAGAGGGGAGAGCTTCTTTCATCCCCAAGATTTTTTTTTTTTTTATTGTCCTAAAAAAGTATTATTAGTAGGTGGTTTTACTAAAATGTGCATTATAAACCGACATTATTTAGCCACAACGATCTTGAGATTTTTTTATTTTTTGATATTTTCTATTCACCGTGAAACTTATAAATTAAATTCCATGGGAAAGAAAAGCTAGTTAGGCGAAGCGTTTATCACATCTTGGACTCAACTTTTTTGGCGAAACGTTTTTACCAAAATGGCAAGAAGAAAATTTACCTTCATTTTTCTTCACAAATTTCCCTCGATTTGGTTTTATCATTGGGTTCATATTTACTAAAGGTAAGATATTCTAACGGTAAGTTGTCGCGACAGTGAAGGTTTGAGAGTTGCAGATCCCATATTTGAATTCAAGCGAGGCCCGTTAGTGATCTCGGAGATCTAAGGTTGTTGGGGGCGAAACCCCGTTGGCGTCGAATTGAATGCAGGTGGATTCCAAATTTAGTAGGACCCGCTGTCACAAAATGACACGTGGGCTGAGTTTCCTGGGTAATAAAAAAAAATCATCATTGGGTTCATATTTTCGCTGAAGCGCTACTTCTTATTTTCGCTAAAGCGGTATTATTTAAAGATTGTTTGAATTTAAAAAATACATTATTTGGAGGTTGACTGATATTGATGGTCCCACCAAAAATGAGAAAGAAAAAGTGGCAAATGGACAATCATCCATAATGAATGATTTTATTGATCTCATCTTCTGGTCAAATACAAATAGTTCGTTTCATTTTAAGACAACAAAAAAATAATAATAAATTCTCCTAATTGCATGTATTGCGCCTAAATACAACATCTGAATTCTGAAATCCTAACTTTCAAACGACCACACCATGTAGTTCCTATTTCCTGTCATAGAATACAAGATTCCAGAATGAGATCTTCAAAAAAATCAGAACTAGAAAACACATTTATTAAGCATAATGAAAATTAGATAATCACAACTATTGGCGAAAGCAGTATCACTAAAATCGTATTGGCGATCAGAAAAAAATCTTATATCGAAGTTTAAACCGATAAATGACTTTGAGCAATATATAAAGTATTAAACCACAATTAAATCATAATATGTACACAAAATACTTTATCGCTGAATTTTTTTCGACACATCATCATCCCATACGATTTTACAATCTTTATCCGGAAACCAAGCTAATTAAACACTCTCTCTAGCTAGTCTATTTAAAAGGCCGACGTTATAACCACATCTCCTTAATCAAACAAAGTATCTTTCTTCTAAGCTCCAACAAATTAAACACAATGGCTTTCAAGGTTGAGATAACTTCTAGTGAATCGGTGAAACCGTCTTCTCCCACTCCCGACCACCGTCGAACCCACAACCTCACGCTCCTCGACCAGATCTCCCCCACCGTATACGTCCCGCTCTGCCTCTTCTTTCCCGGCTGTCTGAAATCAAATTGAATGCAAACTGACACTTTATTCATTTGACTGAGATCAAACTTTATACACGAGCTCTCAACTAAAGCCTTTGGAATCGGCTCTGCTAAACAACTCTAACCACTCAATCCCTGAGAATGGGCAAACTAATCAACTGACTCTGCAAACTGAAACAAACTCCAACGGCTATATTAGCCAGACTGACTCCTACCGACTCAAACACAAAAACAGGGACTAAATTGAAACTTTCCAAACGACACAGTCTCACCAACTAAAAGCCTAACTTATTAAAACGACACAGCACAGCTCTTTTCCTTCTCCAGAAAGGATTCGGATTCAGTAGAGCTTCAGCAGTCTTCATCAGCAGCCTCCCCTGATCTGGAACTCCATCGTGCAGCATCTTCAACAGCCTCCCCTGAACTGAAGCATCTGCAGACAGCTTCAGTTCATCAACCTTCAAATCCCAGTTCAGCTCCATTAACCATTCCCAACCTGCTGCGCAATAATTGAAATGCTTCAAGTTTCAAAGGCTTGGTCATTATGTATGCTACTTGCTCCTCAGTCCCACAATGCTCCAACTCAATCGTTCCATTCCTGGCCAGCTCCCTTAAGAAATGGAAGCGAACATCTATATGTTTGCTTCGACCATGCATGACAGGATTTTTTGAAAGCTTAATGGCTGAACTGTTATCACACATAATCCTGGTTGTTCCTTTCACACAATCCAGCCACCCCATTTGAGCCACAATCCTTTTAAGCCACACACACTGAGCTGCACAGAAGGATGCAGCCACAAATTCAGCTTCAGTTGTTGAGAGAGTGACAACTGGCTGCTTCTTCGAGCTCCATGAGATTGCTCCTCCTGCCAGAAAGAAAGTGTACCCACTGGTACTTTTTCTATCATCCAAATCACCAGCATAGTCACTGTCAGTGTAACCAAATAGACAGTCTCCTTCTTCCTGCCTTTTGTACAGAATTCCATACTTCTGTGTCCCTTTTAGATACCTAAGTATCTTCTTTGCTGCCAGCAGGTGTTGCCTTGTAGGCTTGTCCATGAATCTGCTCAATTTACACACTGCAAACATAATGTCAGGTCTTGTTGCTGTTGCATACAGCAGACTTCCAATGAGCTGCTTGTAGCTAGTTGCACAAGCCTCGACACCATCACCAGCTTTTGATAATTTTGTTCCTGGAACCATAGGATTGTTGACATAGTTGCATTCTGCAAGATGAAACTTGTCTAGTAGCTCACTGATGTACTTTTGCTGAGAAATGAAAATTTCAGTGCCAGTCTGAGTTACCTCCACTCCCAAGAAGAACTTCATTTTTCCCAGATCTGACATCTCGAACTCAGCTTCCATTGATTCTTTGAAATCTTTCAGCATTCCAGGACTGGTGCTGGCATAGATTAGGTCATCAACATACACACTGACCATCAGCACATCTTTTCCAGATTTCTTCACAAACAAAGTCTGCTCAAACTCACACCTTTCAAAACCAGTGTTAAGAAAGTGAGTTTCAATCCTGCTAAACCATGCTCGAGGAGCCTGTTTAAGGTCATACAAGGCCTTTTGCAGCTTGTATACCTTGCCTTCTTGTCCAGGAATCTCAAAGCCCTGAGGCTGTTCAACATACACTTCTTCTGTGAGATTTCCCTGCAAGAAAGCACTTTTAACATCTAACTGATACACAGTTAGACCATGTTGTGCAGCAAGGGCTAGGAAGGTCCTGATGGTGTCCCATCGTGCCACTGGTGCAAAGACTTCATCATAATCCACTCCATATCTTTGAGCATAACCCTTTGCAACCAGCCTGGCCTTGAATTTGTCTATGGATCCATCCTCCTTTAGCTTGGTTCTGTATACCCATTTGACTCCAATGGGAGTCACTCCTGCTGGTCTGTCAACTAGGATCCATGTATGGTTTCTTTTTATGGCATCCATCTCTTGTTCCATTGCCTTCCTCCATCTCTCTTCAAGAACAGCTTCAGCAAAGGAGGTTGGATCACTACTCACAGCAGCTAGAGCCCACCAGTCAGTTTCAGCAAATGTCAAATTTGGCATTCCTTGACAGTCAAAACCATCAAATCTACTTGGAAATTTGCGAGCCCTTGGTCCTAGCTCATTGCTAGGTGGAAGTCCTAGAGCATCAGTCACGTTCTCTTCTTCTTCTGCTTCTGACTCACTGGCAGCTGGTGTGACTGGTTCTGAAGTCTCAGAATGTGGGGGAACTGAGTTGTTCTCAGCTTCTTCTTCAGTTCCCTCTTTAGTGGTGGTCTCAGTTTGCTCAGTCTCTTCTCCATCAGCACCTTGATCATTGTTTTCATCTCCCTCACCTTCTTCTGAATCATACCAAACCTCTTCTGCTCCTTCCCACATCAGTCTGGTCAAAGCAGTCTCTGTGTCAGGCTTCCAAATCCATCCTTCCTTTTCATTAAAGATCACATCTCGGCTAATGATGACCTTCTTGGTTTCAGGATTAAAAAGCTTGTAGGCTTTAGACTCTTTGGACAGACCAAGAAAGTTGCACTTCACACTTTTGTTATCTAGCTTCTTCCTTAGGCTGTCATGAACATGATCAAAGGCTACACAACCAAAAATTCTGAAATGATTCACTGAAGGAGGTTTACCAGTCCATCTCTCTTGGGGTGTCCTGCCCTCATTGGCTTTAGTAGGACTTCTGTTGAGGATATGAGTGGCCCAATCCACAGCCTCAGGCCAGAAGGTTGGTGGAACTTTGGTGTCCTCCAGTGAGCATCTGACCATGTTCATGATGGTCCTGTTCTTTCTCTCAGCAACACCATTCTGCTGAGGGGTGAGAGCAGCTGTTAACTGCCTTCTAATCCCTGCTTCTTCACATACATCTCGAAATTCATGGAGCAGAAACTCTCCCCCTCTGTCAGTCCTAAGGCATGCAATAGTTCTTCCAGTTTCATTTTCCACTTGTGCTTTGAAACGTTTAAAACATGCCAAAGCTTCTGACTTTGCAGATAAGAAATAAATCCATAGTTTTCTGCTGAAATCATCAGTGATAGTCATGATATACCTCTTCCCTCCATTGGATGCAGGAGTAATAGGGCCACACAAGCCAGCATGTATGAGTTGAAGTGGCTTGATGGCTCTCCATGCTCCTGTTTTTGGGAACTTGGTCCTGCATTGCTTGCCAATCATGCAGGTTCCACAGACTCCAAGCTCACCAGTTAGCTTAGGAAGCCCCTCCACCAGCTTCTTCTTTTCCAATTGTAGCAGACCAGCCTTACTGAGATTACCAAAACGCCTGTGGCATAGATTGAGAATGTCTTGTTGGTCAGCATCAGTTTGTAGGCAGTGATGATTGTCTTCAGTATGATGTTTGGCTTGCAGTACAAACATCCTGTTGGACTTCATGGAGGTTTGCAGCAGCAAACCATGCTTCTCGTGATAGATCTTACAGCTTCCTTTCTTTATTGTGAAGGCAAGGTTCTTTTCCTGCATTTGACCCACACTCAGTAAATTTGACTTCAAGCTAGGCACATAGAACACATTCTGGAAGACCAAAGGAACCTTCTCCACTATCATTTTGACAGATCCCCTCCCTTGAACTTCTAGTTTGCTTCCATTGCCCAGTTTGACATCACTTTTGAAGCTTGTGTCAAGTTTAATAAACCAGCTCTTGTCACCACACATGTGGTTACTGCATCCACTGTCAAGAAACCACCAATCACCATCTTTTCTCAAGATTTCTCTACTGAAAACCTTTTTTTCAGTGTAGGCCATCAACAGAACATCATCTTTGATGTCATTTGACTCCCAGCTTGAGTAATGAGTCTGCCATTCAGGGCATTCTCGACTGAAATGCCCCATTTTGTGGCATTTGTAGCACTCAATCTGATCCTTATTCCAGATTCTGCCTCGTCCTCTGCCTCCCCTGCCCTGATATCCAGTTCTACCTCCTCTTCCTCTACCACCATTATACACTTGCAGAGCTTGTTCTTCACCATATGTGGATTTTGAGAACTTTTGTTCATGAACCAGCAGGGAGCTTTGCAGGGCATCACACAGACATCTCAGCTATGTCTTTAGATTCTTCAATAGAGCAAACAATGTAATTGAATTTTTCAGTAAGGGTTCTGAGTACCTTCTCAAAAATCTTAGTGTCTGTCATGTCTTCTCCACAGTTCCTCATTGAATTGGCAATGACCATTACCCGACTGAAGTTGTTGGTCACTGTCTCACCATCCTTCATCTGCAGCAGCTCAAAGTTCCTCCTGAGCCCTTGCAGATTTGCCTTCTGAACACGCTCGTTTCCTTGATAACGAGTTTTCATTGAGTCCCATAATTGCTTGGAGGTTGCCTTCTGAGTGATGGTTTTAAGAATGCTTTTATCAATAGAACTGAAAAGAAAGTTCTTAGCATTCAGATCCTTCAGTCGAGCCACCTCCAGTGTCTTTCTCTGAGTTTCAGTCAACTCAGCTCTCTCATCAGCTTCTTGAAATCCAGTTTCCACCACAATCCATAACTCTTTGGATCTGAGCAGGTTTTCCATCAACATACTCCAATGATCATAGTCCCCATCGAATTTGGGAATCCCCACCTGAGCAAAACTGTTGTCACCACTCATCCCTGCTCCTCTGGAATTCACTCACCAATAATCAAGATCCTCACTTTCACTCGTGTTTCCCACAACCCAAGATCTTTTACTCTTTCACACACCTCTCACTTTCGATCAAGAACACTCTGGTTACAGTCTGCAAAAGCTCTGATACCACTATGAAATCAAATTGAATGCAAACTGACACTTTATTCATTTGACTGAGATCAAGCTTTATACACGAGCTCTCAACTAAAGCCTTTGGAATCGGCTCTGCTAAACAACTCTAACCACTCAATCCCTGAGAATGGGCAAACTAATCAACTGACTCTGCAAACTGAAACAAACTCCAACAGCTATATTAGCCAGACTGACTCCTACCGACTCAAACACAAAAACAGGGACTAAATTGAAACTTTCCAAACGACACAGTCTCACCAACTAAAAGCCTAACTTATTAAAACGACACAGCACAGCTCTTTTCCTTCTCCAGAAAGGATTCGGATTCAGTAGAGCTTCAGCAGTCTTCATCAGCAGCCTCCCCTGATCTGGAACTCCATCGTGCAGCATCTTCAACACCGTCGTGCTTCTTCCTACGACGACCAACTACATTCCTTCGCTGAAGGCCTCAGAGATTCCCTCTCAAACACACTCAACGTCTACTATCCGTTCGCCGGCCGGTACAAGGACACCTTCTCCATCGACTGCAACGACGCCGGCGTCGACTTCGTCCGAGCCCGCGTCGCTTGCGACATGTCCGACGCGCTTCATCAGCAGGCGGTCGACGAGGACCGTTTGCTGCCGTTCCTCGCGTGCCGTCCTCAGGGGGGCGCGTGGATTCGGACGGCAAGCTGGTGCTTCTAGCCGTCCAGGTCAGCACCCGGTGAAAAACTCATATTTCGTCACTAGAAAAATTCGTAACGAAGATCATTGACACGGTTGACACATATGTTTACAATTGACAAGGTTATCCACTAAACGGTAACCGAAGTAACCGAACTTCGGTCGGTTATCGGAAACTGGACGAAATGGTGTTTGGTCTTAAAAGTGGTTCGGTTAACCGATAACCGAGATAACCGAGATAACCGAATCATATTTCGATCGATTTTCGGTAGAGGGGATGATTATTTCGGTTAATCAATAACTGGCCGATCGGTTACCGGTTAAAACCGAAATAACCGAACTGCCACCCCTAGATATATGAGTGCAAAATAACACTCTATTCATTTTTCTTTTATTTATTAATTTATTTTTCTTGATCGAGACATCTCCGAAAATTCTGGGTCCACTGCAGGTCAGCTTCTTTGAGTGCGGAGGAGTGAGCGTGGGTGTGTGCGCGTGGCACGGCCTCTCAGACGCCTGCACGCTCGCTTACTTCCTCAGAACGTGGAGCGGGTTTGTGATGAAAGTTATTGGACCCGGGGATGGAAACGACGTCGTGGTTCGAGATTGCACCGACGTGTTCCCTCCGAGAGACCTCTCCGTGGTGAGCGAATATATGGATAGGAGTCAAGTCGCGATGGCCACTCCCGGCACGAGAATCAAGAGGTGGGTTGGATTGGGTTGGGTGCGAATTTTGAAAAGGATGGGTTGAGTGTGATTTTTTCTTAAATCCGACAATTTTTCATGTGACTTGCACTCAGAAAGTATAACGAGGTCGTTTTGCTAACCTTAATAATATTTATGGATGTTGTTAGTTGCAGTGGCGGACCCACATAGGAGGGAGGTGTGTCACCCGACACACTTTCGCCCGAAATTTTTGTGAAGAACCCATATTTTTTTTATAAAAAAAATTTGAATATGGGATCTCGACACACCTTATTATATTACAATTTTTTGTGGTCATAATGTTATTAAAATGTGTAAATATAGGAGTTACCGGACTTCAGACTAGGTAGTTAATTAGTTGGTTGTACAAGAGTAAATAATTAATTAGCTACTTACTATGTACTGAGTATTCATAGAGATTGCTATTACCTAAGAGATAACCTTAGTAATTTAATGAGAATTAAATTGATTTATAAGCTGGTTGAGTCAAGTAATTAATTAGATTGTGAATTCCATGTTGTCTTTCGCCGTAGCTTCTTCAATAGGTTTTTTCCTTAATTTATTTGCCAACATGCTTTCTAGTTAAGTTATTACTTTCCACGTTAATGTCTGTCGACACCCTCCAATTGTCGGTGTCGGCAACATCCTCATTCTCATTCAAATTTTCACGTTGACGCTTGTGGCTACCCTTTGAACTTCCTATTCCAACTTTTCCATATTAAATTAGTGTTGACTTTACCTCTTGGAACTGCAAGCTACCAAATGACATTTCTCGTATAAGAGCTTAATCAAGAATGATATTTGGTATCATTTGAGTTACCAATTTATGAATAATTGTTTAGTTGTTTACATAAAAAAAAGGTTTGATTTGCAACCTAATGGACAAATGTAATTAATAAATATTTCAAAAATTCGTCATGGTTCACTATAAAATACAATGAAATTGGTGATTTTGATGAATAAAATGTTATATTTATTTTAATTATTTAATTATTATTTAAAATTTTATTTTTATGGATCAACACACCTATCTTAAAATCCTGGATCCGGCACTGATTAGTTGGCCATATTATTCTAATAACATAAATAATTTATTGGTGTTCTTCGTCTTTATGAAAATATATTTATAGAAAAATAATTATATCATTTTATGATGCGGGTGAATCCATAGTTACTTACACACGTGGTTACCCGTTGGATTAGGTTAAGTTTTCATTTCCAAAAGCAAATAAATATTTTTACTGAATCTTTTGAAGGAGGCACCTGCTAGGTTGAACTTTGGGTTCAGAAAAAGTGAATTGAGGTCGTTTTGTGAACCTTAATAATATTTATGGGTGTTTTAGTTTTATGACCATATAATCCTAATAATGTAAATAACTTATGAGTGATGTTGGTCTTTAAAAAGATATACTAACAATAAAATTTTCGACGATATCACGAAATGGGCGCATCAATGAGTATCCATGTACTTGTGGGTACCCGTTGAATTGGGTTGAGTTTCTTTATTTAAAAATTTTATATATTTTTACTGAATTTTTTAACAAATATACTTGTTATAGGTTGGATTTGAGTTCAGAGAAACTCACTCCGTTATTATCTATGATTAGGTTGCCTTGTGTGAGCACTTCCACTCTGCAATTAACTATTGGTGCTTTAAAGTACAACTTGAAGTTCTACCTCAAATCGTTAAAGTAAAAATAGAAATTGTACAATAAAAGAATTTGACATTTATTTTATGGTTCAACTTGAAGTTGTACCATAACATAAATGTACAACTTTATTTTGTACCATAAGAGATTTTACAAAATAGTATAATTAAGTACAACCTGCAATTGTATCATAACATTAAATGTATAACTCCAAATTGAACCAATAACACACCAATGCTTTAAATCATTGTAAAATTCAACTGCCTTTGTGTTGGTTCTTGCAACAATGTGTTTTTTTTTTTTTTCTTCCTAGCCATTGGTCATATTCTTTGGGTAAATGTCATTTTATGAATTCTTTCGCTGAAGAAGAAGAAAAAAAAATGTGCATTTGTGTAGGTTCGTTTTCGGGAGGGACGAAGTAGCGGGTCTTCGACGGGACATCGAGGCCGCGAGCCGCGTGCAGGCGGTGTCGGCGGTCATTTGGGCGGCGGCGATCAGGATCGCACGAGAAAAGAACGTCGTCGACGGTGGTGGTGGATGTCACTTAGCCGCAATGGCGGTCAACTTGAGGCCGAGGATGAAGCCGGCCCTGCCGGAGCAAGTGATGGGGAGCCTCGCAAAACTACCGGTGTTGGCCGCATGGCCGGTGGAGATGAACGAGGACGAGAACGACGGCTGCTGCTACTACTACGGCGCTGTGGCGGAGAAGCTGAGGGAGTCGTTGGAGATGGTGACCGACGAGAACATGAGGAATGCAGTCCTGGGGAGTGAGTTTTGGGACGCGTTGAGGTACTCCGTGGAGAAGTTCGCCGGAGGGAATCTGTTGACGATAAGCAGCTGGTGCAGGTTCCCGTTCTACGAGGTGGATTTCGGGTTGGGGAAGCCGGCTTGGATGTGCTTCTTCACCATGTGTTACAATCTTGTGGTGCTGTTGGATGCCGAGGATGGGGAAGGGATTGAAGCGTGGGTTGCGTTGAGTGGGGAGGACATGTCGAAGTTCGAGAAGGATGTTGGGGTACTAAAATATGCCACTCGCTCCAAGAGTGTGGGGGGTTGTGCGGCTTGAGTTAAATTAACGCCGCATCGATTGGGTATAGAGCGAGTATGGATACTATCTAGAGAAAAATAATGATTGAAGTGGATTGGAGATGGGTTCAGATGTCTCTGCTCCGGCCTATCGCGTGTTCTGAAATCCACCGTGCTCGTGTATGTAATTCATGTACGTAACTACCTGCAAACAATTTATATTACATGTCATATGAACTTTTTTCGATCTTCCAATATCCACCAAAGTTTGAAATTAATATAATCTTATACTCCTTAATTTCGCTTTCGCTTTTTCAATTCAATCAAGATGTATTTGTGTTATGTTTTCCGTACTTTTTGTGGCTTGTTTGTATCATATATATGATTAGGGTTGTTATTCAGTTCGATTCGGTTATAACATGAACCGATTGGTCAATTCTCAGTTAACCGTTTAGCACTTTGGGCATACCGTTAACCAGACTGTTAATATTAGTCGGTTAACCGAAACCGTATAGCTAGTTCTTGATTATTTTGTCAGTTAATGACGCAGTCGGAAACCCTCGAGACTCGCAAACACTCGTCTCTCGTTAACAAGCAAGCTTGCGAGCGCAAACTTGACATTATGTTCATTTAGAGCAGAAAAGGGGGGAAAGGAAAGAAAAGGGAGGAGAGTTGGATTTTCGAGGAACTTTCCCCTGTTTTTTAAGCTTTGTACAGTGTGGAGGTGAGGGAAAAGGGAGGGATGGGTCACTGTTGAACCCAACCCTCCAAATCGGAGAGAAAACAACAATTTCAATTTTTTTTTTTTGACAGCTCCCTCCTCTATCCTCTCTCTCTCCTTTCTCCTCTCTCTTTCCCATCTTCTTTTTCGTTCTCCCCAAATGCAAACCCAAACCCAAACCAGAGAAAATCATGGCTATCTCCCAATAAGTATAATCGATCCAAGCTCACTCGCTCCCTCTTTGTCCCAAAAATCCGCCATCTTCCCAAATCGAACTGAGCTTCAACTTCTTCCTTCTTCCTTCCCAAATTGAACTGAGCTACAAGCCTTCCCCCATCTTCTTTCGTCGAAAACCTCTCCAAAAAACCAAACAAATAGACTGGATTTTAACCTTTTTTCCCCCAAATCGAAATCTCATAAATCGAAAACTGAAACATGCAGCAGTGGGTGACGGCCGCAGGATTCACCGGTGGAAGATGGAGGCTTGGGTTTCGGATTAGAAGTCTATGATTGAAATTGATCACTAGGGAAAAGAGATGAGGAGAACTGAGCTTCTCTTGCTTTGGCATTAGAGAAGAGGGAGGGAGAGGAGGCGTAGTAAGAGAGAGAGAGAGAGAGAGAGAGAGAGAGAGAGGAAGTTTGGGAGTGTGCTTTCACACGGTGGGTGTATGAGAGAAGGATAAGGGAATGGTCAGTTTTTTAATAAAGTATTAATTGATCTAATTAAATTTATATAGACTATATCAGTATTAATTACATTTAAAATTACTTATAAACAATGCATTATAAATATAAAAAAAAACCATGTGGCCTCGTCAAATATTTGAGTTATTGTCACCTCCCCAAAAAAATTCCATATCACTCAACTTTAGCTACGTCAGAGTCAACTAACGTTAGACCGAATAGAAAATAAACGGTTTGGCTATTATACTGTTTCTAAAAAAATTTAGCTATTATTTTGTTTAAAATCAAAGATTTGGCTACTATATTATATTTACCCTTTTTTATGATCTTTATTGTTCAAATTAATTAAATTAATACTTAAGTCATTTTTTATTAATTGGGTGTCGAGAATATCAAGGATTACGAAACTGTTCCACTTTCCCTCTATTAAACAACATTTTCTTTCCAATTCCCTCTAATTTCCCTCCCTTCCAAATTTAACCTCCCCTCCAAATTTTCCTACCCTCCCCTCCTTTTCCTCCCTTCCTTCATGAACATAGTGTGAAAGAAAAGTTCGGAATCCACCGAGAATGACAACCCTTGGGTTTAATTAAATCAAAAGTAAAAGTTGGTCTTGTGATACCCGCGACAGAGGAAGATATTTCCCATCACTTAGTCTGGGCTCCTAAAATATATCCAATTCCCAACACCACTTCAAGTAGGTCGAGAGAATACAAAGGAAAAAAGTCAGTAAGATATGTGCTCTTTTTTAAGGTGTTCTGCTTAGAGGTGAGAATCGATTTCAAAAATTTCTGGGTGAAAAAATTGTATACCTCTCGTTACCAACTCCATACCATACTACACCACCCTGGTACGGGATGATATTTTTCGTATCATATGGTATGCTCTTATTTAATATCAGTCAATATCATATGATATAGACTGGTAATAACTGGCTCAAATTTTTTTGTTAAAAAAATATCAAAGTGGATATCATTTTGAAGAGGTTGGATTAGTGTAAAAACCCATATAGTTTATAGCACTAAAAGACCATAATGGGTGGGTGAGATTGAGAGGGAAGTGATCCAATGACCATCTTTGTATAGGGGTTTGGGGAGATAACTGACCGGTTTTTTGGAATGGCGTGGATCTCTAGACTGTGGTTAGTGCACTTTTCAAATCTTCTATAAATTTTCAACGGACAATGTCTCATTCATTTTATATCGGATTTCAATAGTTTTTTTACAAAAAAATATTTAAATTTTTTTGTGCTATACAAGATAATATCAATTTTGATATTTTTAACAAAAAAATTTAGGCCATCATACCATTGTGATATTATGATGTTACCACTGAGAGTGGAAGGGCTTAGGGGCCCTTATGTCTTAATGGTTAACCCAACATTTGCCCCTCAGGCGTGAGAGGCTTTAGGTTCTCGCGACTAACGATTGTCTTCTTATCATTAAGCAGTTAGGGGTCGCCTTACCCAAGATTACTCGCCTGCCCCTGGCCGTGAGGGCATGAAGCGGGAACGCCTTAGGGGCGGTCTAGGACGCATGCGTCCACTCCTTCGGTTTTGCGGATGCCACGTGGCGTGCATTGACTGTGGTGCCCTGACATGGTCAGGCCAAACGTCATCCTTGTGGGTTTCAAACCCGAACTTTACTTTAAATGGGCGTGGGGGGACCTTTTTCCGCCATTTTTGCTTCTTCTTTGGGAAAACAGCTCGTCCTCTTCCTCTCTTCTTCTGCGACAGACTTCGAGCCTCCTCCGCTGTCGAGCTCTATAAAACCCAATTGATTCCAGGTAAGCTTTTCGCTTTGCTCGTGTTTCACGCATGCTTCTTCTTCCTTCTTCTTACTCATTGTGTCGTTTTGTGTTTCGTCCGATCGATTCCACCACGCGACGCGTTGGTGGTTTATTGGGGTGTTCGTGACGAAACCGGCGTTCACCTCATCTTTGCCCGTTGGTAGATGTCGAGTGAAGATCGAACACCATCTGCCACCGCGGGGAGCGATGTCGCCGCCGTCACGGGAGAGGCATCCATCGTCAACCTCGCTTCGAAAGCGGTTCTAGAGAAGAATCCAACCGCCTCGATAGTGCCGCCGTCACCGCCTGCTCCTGTGAAGAAGAATGTGGGGCCCTCTGGAGGGACCGCTCCTGTTTCACAAGGTATGACCCGCTCTTCTCCCACTCGAACCGCCCTTGAGTGCATGTGGTATTTATCCGAGCTAGAATTGTACATTGGGAGTGGTTCTGAATTGCACGATTGTCTTGTCGAAATCACTTTATACTTAGATAACTCTTTTGCTAACATCCGCCATGTACCAGCTGGGGTTATGGCTACTTCATCTGCAGTTGTGGATAACATGGGTTCTGAATTGCACGATTGTCTTGTCGGAATCACTTTATACTTAGATAACTCTTTTGCTAACATCCGCCATGTACCAGCTGGGCTTATGGCTACTTCATCTGCGTTTCTGGATAACATGGGTGATTTTGAGCAGGTAGATTTAGATAGTATTTCATTGGACGGAGATGAGGCGATTGACAGTGAGGGTGTGCCCTCGGAGGCGCTCCCGAGTACCTCTTCTTATTTAGAAATAGTGGAGCTAGAGGGTGTGGGACCGCTCCCACTCGCGATCAAGGACTCTGTTTACACGATTTTGCGCCACTAGGGGATGTGGGGCAGTCAGCATGTCCCGCCTGACGTGTTTGGATTGGTGCCAGACCATGAAGCGGTCTTTAAGCCCGAGCAAGTACTTTACCACTTGAAGTCGCTTAACCTTCCTCCTGATTGGTATTATGCGACCCCTTCAGAGGTGAGCCGCTCCGGGTCTTGTCCGGTTGGTTAGATTCCTATTCATGTTGAACAAGTGAAATTGGGATTGTGTTTCCCTCTTGACCCTATTTTGACTAAGGTTCTGCACTGGCTCGGTTTCACTCTGGGGAGCTTGTCGCCTACCATCATTTTTCATTCGGTGATGTACTGGCTGGTGTGTGACCGCCTCAATAAAGAACCTTCCTTTGACGCCTTTCGCCTGATCTACAATATTCTTGATTCGACCAATTGTTGGTCAATTGGGAGGCGGGAGAATTCCGTGGGGTTTGTCACTGGGGCGCCCAAGTTGGATTCACCCTGGTATAAGGAATACTTCTTCGCGCGTCCATCTTGGAAGTGGTATGCGGGGGAGTCAGAGCCGCTCACGGGCTGTGCGATTGGCTCTAAGTATGCTTGGTGCGCCTCCGGTCAGTTCCCTCAGTCTGTGAAAGACCATGTGACCCGCATTATAGAGGGTTTTCAGCTGCGTGTGCGACACAGCGGTCCTGAGAGTACATACCAGCATGTTCGTGGTTTTTATGATTAGTAGAAATTTGTTTAAGTGTTTATGTTCTTCCCTTTCTCATGTCGTTTTACTTGTGCGTCTTTTTTCCAGGTTTGAGTGAGCTTGCCGATGCTAACCGGCCGAAGGCGAAGAAGAGGGTGGTGAAGGTTGTGAAGACTGGTGTTGCGTCCTCTTCGGCGGCGGTTGCGAGGAAATCTGTTCCCGTGGGTCCTTCATCATTGGCCGCCAATGTTCCTGCAACGGTGACTACTGCGTCCATACCCTTGACGCGGGGTGCGGGGAAGA